AGTTCATTTATCACTGTCAGGAGTTTGAATATCTTTTAAACCAAAAACTTCAGTTTTCTGTATGAGTATGATTCATAGCTGTTCTCCATGCATGTAATTTAAAACTTCCTTTTTCGTTTAAAGGCTATTTAACGATGAAAGATTAGATCGTCAACTGCTTCTGGCATGTTGGCCGGCTGACTTCTGCAGTACAAGGTCACTTTACATTAAGTGTATTTGGGTAAATATAATTCATTTAAGTAAGTGGTAGCTGTTTTGTGAAACGTGTGTTTATATGTTCCATTAAATTCTGCATCGATGTAGATGTTGGATAAAGATATGGCAAAAGGTTTCTGAGTTTAACATGTAAAATGGATTTTAAAGCTACTTGCAACAAATCATTTTATCTAGGTTATTTGAAGATTAAATCAATTGATTTTGATTCAGGCCCAAAATGTATTAGGTCATATAAAGTTGCGCACCCATGTCCACCCCTGAACAGAGTGTTGCCATCATGAAATACAATAGTTATACAGTTACACAGTGTACTAAACACTTGAAATAAAAAAATTATGATTTTATCAAAAGTCATGATGTGTGATGGGAAATGCAGCCTTGCTACTAAAAACTTTAAGCTACATATCCCAAGGCAGTTTTACACATAAACAATCAATAACTTTATCATAGTGATCAGATCTGTAAAACAGTGCCTTCAATAACCAGCTAGTTTTTCAAACGGATAAAGCATGTGAGACCAGGGAGAAAAAAATCCTACCTCATCTGTTATCTGTCCTCCAAATGTCACCCATGTACCTAGAAAGGAGACAGAGAGACAGAGTCATGTCATCGTCAGCAAACATCCCCATCCTGTCACTCCTCTGTCAGCGCCTCTGCGCTTGTGTTTGACATCCTGCTGTAAACACAACTAATTCCTCGGGTGTGATACCACTTGAGGGAGGCTGTCAAGCTCCCAAGAGAAAAATCTGTCCTGTTGAGACCCACTGCTTTGTATCAAGGGATCACATTGTCTGAATGCCTGGGAGCACTTTGTCTTTACTGTTGACTGCTGCAGTTTGCTACAGTAATGTATATGTGGAAAAACTTTTCTCCCCCATCCCTTTCAGCATTTTTTAATGTTAACAGATGATGAATGTGCACGTGTATGCATTTGACAACACACTTGCCCTCCAAACAGTCCTGAAAAGCTAAACAAAAGGTTGATACACCCATCAAAAGGCAATACTAAATCCTCGGCACAGTTCCTATACAGTATGTGAGTTGCTTTGTTATGGAAGAAATGCTTTTCGTTCAGATCCTGTCAAAACAGATTTAGACATCTAAAACTGCCAACTTCAGCTTGACAACCACCATAAATGCTTTCTCTTCTTAGCAAAATGGCTTTAAAATAAAAACCATTTAATACATGAGTGAGGTTTGAAGTGCATGAAAGTCCGTACTGCCTGGAAGGACATGAGGAACATTTATGGAAAAATTATGCAAATAAAAAAACTCCTTGGAATAGAATAGGATATTATATATCTAGAGGTACTTGTAGTACATCACAGTTTATACATTGGGTATTGTCCTAAGTATTGCTGAAAGAACACTTTTAAAAATGTCAGGTTTTGCATAATGATAACAATGTTTATTGACATTATTACGATTATCAAATGGTTTGATTGATATATTCAGTGAATTTCCATTCAACAATACACAACCATTCGGATCAACAAAATAAAACAAAATGCAAATGATTCAACCCCCCAAAAATTGTGTAAGTAATCTAATACGCTGTAATATATCTTTATCGAGAATTTCCTCTTTTAGCACTGAGAGTGATTTTTTGCTTTGTTCTACTAACGGGTATTTTGCTCGGCAAAAGTCTAAATCAAATTAACTACATGAGGAAAATACACATTAGTTTTAATACTCCAAAGCTTTCTTTTTAATTTTAAGAACCAACTCAAACACAAATTGGAAATAGGCAGTAAAATTCCCCACAGAATCCAACAAAGTACACGATGGTCAATATTGTGGGAAAAGTTTGCATGAACATCTTGGATTTCATTGTTAAATCTTTTGGATTGAAAAATGACCCTGAGCCGGTATTAACTATAATCTGTGGCCTAAAATGTATTTCATGGGCAAATGATCGTAACAGTGTAAGATAACTATCAATAAGCAGTACATCATGGATAACCTGGACACATTGTCAGCCACGGTTCATTTTATGGCCAGTGGAGTCATTAAAAATAATAGAAAAGTTTCTCTGTCCCCACCAAGTGAGGGAGGCCATGGCCTTGCACCCCTCCGGCTGTGAGTTATTCATCCCGGACAACCATTTAAGTGTACTCTGCTTTGGAAGATTTATTAATTCACTTCAGGTCATGAGACTCACCTCCTCTCTCTCTCTAATCTGTATAATGTTTCATCTGCAACATGTGAACAGTTGTTCCTCTGACTTTGCCGTCCTCCACTGCTCAATTTTAATGAAAGAAAGGCGGAGATACACGGGGCAATGAAAATGCACAAAATCATTGGCTCATTTCATCAGGCGGTATAATATGATGGAGAAGAGCTCATTATTCTGTACACTGTGATACTTTCAATTCCTGTTAGACTTCATTTACAGATCACACCCTGAGGACTCCTTGAAAATGTCTGTGCATACTATATCATTCATACCCAAAGAGGAGCAGAAAGTGGTCATTTTAGATATAAATCATCAGTAGAATAATATTTAAGAGGGATGGTGACATATCAGTAGAAAAACTGGCTGAAGGATCAGTTGCTTTTGGAGATAAAACATAAATGATCATGTCAACTTCAGTGACTGTAAACTGCAACCTAAAATACAGATGTGAGGCATTTTCGTGGTATTTCCTCTCTATACTTTCTTTTGATTGATAAAGTATCTGTCTGTGTGGGCTCAGCATTGCTCTAAGCTGACTCCAGCGTGGTGGAAATGTAAGCTGATGTCCAGTTGCAGCTGAGTTTTGTGTCTTTGGCTCAGCGTGGGATGCAAACCCTGCAGAGCTCTAATGTCAAGGCCACTGCTCCGCTCGCCCCAGCTCTGTTGTGTGTTTGATGGTAATGAAAGCCCTGCAAACAACAAGCCTTTTGTTATTATTTCTGGCAGCTGCTGGTGGAATTGCTGCAAGTGTCACTTGATGTTGCTATGCAACTATATCAAATGTGATAATCCCCTTTGTAGAGCTGAGAGGTCTAAGCTTGAACTAACTGTGTATAAAGCACCTGTGGAGTCTGTAACACACATTATAGGCTAAGTCGTACTTTTCAACTTAAAACTTCTGCATATTTTGTCTGAGATGAAGAGAATCATGTTTCGGACTTGTAGGTTTGGCTAAAGATTTATATCTTCTGAATGTATGAATCCATCTAACCTTAGTGTAGAGTATAGACATTTATAAAACCTTTCATTCCTGTGTCTCGCTTGAACTGAGCACCTAACTCACTTTTGACAGCATTTTCATCTGGCTGGAGGTGGAAAAGCTAAGTCATGATTAATGTTGGATTGTTTTACCAATTTTCACCTCCAACAGAAACACAAAGTCATTTTTGCCAGTACAGGTTTGTGCAGATGATACAGTAAGACAGCTTGTGATAGTTGCATGTGCAACTAAAAAACTAAAAATGTAAAATTGTACATAATGAAACTCTCTTAGTAGGAGCAGGTTGGTTGAGATCTGGCTTGGATCTTCTGGATGTGAAGCATCCTTTAAACTCTCACTATCAGTACATGCCAGCCCATTTTTTTCAAAGCATAAGAGAACATTAAAAAAAAATGGTGCTTATGCTCCTCAAGACTGAGGACCTATATTAAGTCTCTCACGTCTACTTTTTGGTGAGATGATAAACAATACAGGAATGGGAAATGTTTCTAAAATACAAAAAATCTTCCTCTGTAAAAAATGACTTTAGGAATATCTCTAGTCAGGGTTAAAAAGGATGATTGATTAAAAAATAAACATATTGATGTCAGACTCTTTTTAGTATTGCCAACACACATTATGAAATCCTGATTGGAATGCTGAACTGAGCAGATGATGATTTTGAAGGACGGGCACAAAAGGAAGTAGATAACACATGAGAGGATATTGGTCCTCTGTGTATTTCTCCTTGAGAAGTACCACAATGACGCATTTAAAAGTCAATTCCCCTTTTCCCATCTTATACACTGCAGGACTGCTGAATGATCTTTAGGAACCGTTTTAAGAATTCATCAATCGATAGTGCCGCATCAGTGCAGCGCACAGACAGGAAAAGGATATGGGCCCAAATCATATTTTCACTCTGTTTGGAAAAGCCAGAAAAAAGTCTCTTGATTTATGTGTCTACATTTTCTTTGTCTTTTTTTGCCAGCAAAATAAAAATAATTTTGCAAATATGAATACACACAAACAATTTTTTCCATATTTGCAAATAACTAGCATTGTTGGAGTCAATGTGTGCTCACAGGAAGTCAGAAACAATCCCTCGTCCTGTCTGTGGGTGGTCGCTCTCTCCGAATAACCTTAAAACCTTGGAAACCTACCATCTCTCAAGAGATTTTTTTCTGTAGCTGAGTTAGGTATGCTGAAAGGTTTTGATGAATTTAAAAATCGGTCACTCCAGATAATCTTTTATTTATCTATTTATTCTTTTTATTGATTCACTTTCCATTAGCTGTTGAGGGGCTTGCACACTCAAAATGTCACAAGCTACTTTCAAGTGGATTTGTACTTAGGTGGTGGAAAATCAGTTTGAGTATAACTTGAAATAATCTTATTGTTCACGGAAGAAACTGCTTACCCGGGCTCGTTTTAGGAACAAACAAGTTGAATATCACCAAGCATGCTGTCGATTTCAAAATGGGTGCGCAAATAGTTTCCCAAAGACAGGGAAAATACAGAATGTTTGCACTTCAGACAGCTTTGACTTTTGAGTTCTGTTAGGGCCCCAATCCCGTTTCAGCATAGCCCCTTAATTTTTTTAATTTTTGTAATGACAGAATAACCAACCGCTTTGCAGCAGCAGCTGGGGCCTGAGAGGATAGTGCCCACAGGGCTGCAGAGAGAGGAAGAATGAAGAGGAGAGCTTATTTTAGGAAGTAAGACGTGGGAAATAAAACCAAGAGTGAGTATTCCTCTAAATATATTCTCATGTGAATGAAAAGTGCAATTCCGGTTCCCTCATAAAAGAACATATAATATCATTTGAAAGCTAAAAAAACAAAGGCTGCTTTGTATGTTGATTATTTATGCTATGCCCTTGTTAGAAATGAAAAAGTCAGTTGGAGCTGTAGTTGCACATCAGGGGGATACACAAATGTCCTTTTGTGTCTGCTGAACAAACTTTAGTCGAAAATTAAAACAAAATAATAATTTCTATGTGCAAATAAAGTAATTCATTCCCACAAAATCTATAAGTGAGGGTGCATTTTTTGGATTGTTCTGTGTCAATCTCATATTAGAAATCACCAAGAAAAGCGTTGTATTTGGTGGATGATTTGAGAGTCTATTTGAGGAACACTCCAATGTTTTTCAAAGCATAACCATGCATAAGCTAGTGCCTAAAAGTTCACCTGTTAACAAGTAAAATGTTTAAAAGTTAATTAAAAAAACATGCTATGTTATTTGATTGTTTATTTAATCATACACGTCATCATAATGTGATAAAGTACAGATAGAAAAAGCCTCATCATCAACCTGCCTACACTTCCAAACTAGTTTACCTTTGTAGGTTTTCTCTTACATACACACCAAGAAAAAAGTTTTCGGTGACTTCTGACTTTTTTAAAATTTTGTTCGTGTCTCTTTGTTTTCCACCCATGATATACAGGTGGACTAATCCAAGGATTAATTGCTCCATGCTGCGTATTGCTGAAAGAAGGGGGAAATATAGGTCAGCAGATTTATGAACAGTATTACGAGGAGAATTGCTGTGAGCAAGCAGACTTATGTAAATGGGGCGGGCGCTGGTGAGACGGCGCTGTTCTCAAGGCACCATTATGCAGTTACTGATTTGCTCTTGAAAGGATGCAACTCCTGCGAGGGTTACATCATGTGGTTCACTTCCACACAGCAAGTGACAATTAGAAAAATGACAGTCTTGAATTTGTATGATTTTATGTTTGTGTCTTTCCTGCATGTGGGCGTTTGATTGGGTGACATAAAATTGTATTATGGAACCTCACTTTGTCGCTCCACACCTGTCACATACTGACATTTACTCCACATGCTTTCACATTCTGGGAGCACATATAAGTTGATGGTCTGGCTTGTGCGGATTGTGAGAATGTATTTAAACCAAGACATTAGTTTTGGGGTCTTTTATAGATGATTAAAATTTTCCATTGGACAGTTTTCTCATGCTTTTATTAGACTTTCAGGAATTAGTCAGGTTTAGGCACCAGAGTCAATCAGCTGACCATGAAATCACAAGAAGATGTGTCACAATATCTGCAAATATGTCCCTCAGACATATTTCTTATCTACATCTAATTTCCGTGAGATTTCTTTAAGTGATACACTGTTTTGCATCATGGTCCTTGCTCGCTTAGTTCGATCCCTCCTCTGGCTGCATCATGTCTGCCCAGGGCTCAGCATGTGGCAGGCTGCTGACATTATGTTGACCTTTTCTGCACCGAGCAGCTCAACCAGTTTGAGTCAGACCTCTGAGACTGCAATGAGCCACCTATGACAGCAGCGTTTAGAGCTGTAGTGAGAGTCACACGTCAAGCTCTGACAAACAAAAAACATCTTTGCATACGAGAAAATCATTGATAATCATTTCTGAAACAACAAACTCATCCAATGTAGTCCGCTTCATTGCATGATGAGAAATGAAAGTTTGGGTTTATTCAAAAGAAACAAGGATTGTTAGTACCAGCACAACATGGTAGAACAGGCAGCATTGACCTCATACTGTTGATCCCTGACCAAACACAACATACTACCTCTACAGGTAAACAAAAAAAAAAAAACTATTTAGAATGGGAAAAGCAAATCCCAAACTTAACTCAGTGAACAGACCAATTGCAATATTCATGATTTGTGTATATACGAAATCTACCATCAAATGAGTCAGAAGAACTGTGTCCCCCTCAACCCTTTCACTACTGGTCAGCCCTGAAACCTTCAAATTGGTGTTTGGGCTCCCTGGGAACTCTTTAAGAGAACATATTAACAGCAAAGGACATGAGGTGAGTACTTCCAAAATGTACAACTATTCTAACTTGGTATAGATAAATGCCCATGTTGTTTAAATGTAAGTTGCATTGCAAAAATCAGAAAATACATAACTTTTCAACTTTAGACCCCATCATTTAAAATTTTGTTTAATCATTTAAGCTTTCCTCCCTTGTAGGACTTCACACCAACAAGTAGACCAACAATGTAATTAAATCTAAAGATCACAAATTTGGTTGGACTCATTCATTTGAATAACCTCTTTGTTATATTATTGTTGATTTCTCAAATGATTAAAGTGAATTTATCTTAAATCTTTATGCAAAACCTGGACATTTCTACTATGAAGCCATTCTGTTTTGATAGATGCAGCAGGTACTTTAGCTTTGTAATATGAGACATTCCTAACAAAAGGATAGCATCTTTCTTGGAGCATTGGCGTTTAATCGAAAATCGAATTTGAAAAAGTTTTGCTGCCATTTAATTGGTAAAGAATAACAAAATGATGGATTTGCAAAAATAATGAAGTCTACTTTAAGTAATATGTGTGAAAATAAAGCACATTATAATAATATTTTCAGAATGCTTGTGAAATGTGCCAAGGAAGATCTGGAAAGTCTCAGTGGTATTGTACTCTGGCAGTGGGTGGAGGCCTTGTCAGAGAACTTGTAATGCAGAGAAAACACTTGGTTCGTTCAAACCCCACAGTGCTGTTTTATATACCAGTTGGTTATTTGCATATCCTAGGTAATAGCATATAATTTAAGAGTTTGTTTGGTTAACACTAGGTTGTCAGCGTGTTCTAAAGCAGGTTTATGTCAGGGGTGAAAGTTTGATGAGTAAAACAGTATTCAAGTCATCTCAGACAAACAAATGTTACCTTAAAGTGAAGTATTTATCTGTTCTGGGACTGGTTATCATGCTTCATCTTTAGAAACAGGTTTGTGCCAACAAATTCAACACAAGAAGGTTGATAGGTCTTCTACTCAACCCATATTCAGCATTCCACATTTAGTTCAAAGCACCAACCCCATTGCCAACCCCTTGCAAGTTAACACAGTTCCCTCAGCTATTTGTCTTTAGTACAGCTTACTTTTAGGATCAAGTAAACTTTTCTCTAGCAGCCCTGGCTCAGTTGTGTTTTCAACACCTTTTGAAACATTATGCTGAAGGTTTCCCTGTTTAAGCCTGGTAAAGCTCATGTCCCACGAGGATACTGAATGTTTTGATCCAATTTATTGGTTGTTCTCTGAATTTAACCTTCAAGGGTCTTCTCTAATAAGGATCACTGTCAGGATGTTGGTTTTTCTAATTTTGCCAGGTTGAAAATTCCTATATACCTTACATCTTGACATGACCTTGATATGCACCGTAACAGCTCTGGGGGAATGGGACTTACAATGTGGCCACAAATAGGATGTGAATGCATCAACATCATCAGGTTTATTTATTCTTGTTAAACTAATTTTGAGAAACATTTGGCTTTGAGTGCATTTTAATGTCCTCTTCCAACGGGGGGGAATTTCAGTGCTATGGATGCTGAAAAATGAATGGTGGTGCTGTGAATAAATTATCTATTTGTGATATGAAAGTGGACCACAAATCGTTGGAGCAGCATGTGTACTTTCAAAGGGTTTCCACAAGAAACTAGGCAAGAAAATCTATTCTATAATTCTGTTCAAATAAAATGACTTGGTGATGATTTGGTGAGAAATTAAATGTAAAAGAACAGATACAATGCATAAATGTACAACGTTTCTCATGTGTGATTATTTTATTTGGCAGATCCCAACACTTAAAAAAGCCTGAAAAGTTGAAGATTTGAAGGGTTTATCACATCAGTTGGAAGATATCTATGATACTTTGTCAAACGAAATCTTCAATGATTTGACTCTTTTACTGAAAAGAGAACTAATCCAGTGAATTAAAGGCAGTGTCATTCATGTAATCTCCAAAGAACAGTTCCAATTTTTTCAGTAAGTCTTCGTCATGGCATGGTTGCTGTGTGTCTGTGTTTGCACAGGTATCACTTTTTAGTTTACCAAAGGAGGGAAACTATGGTTTAGACTTGTGTTTGCCCCTGGTTTCTAAATCAAGATTTGGTATTTTTTGTACCACTATCAAGGCTGTCAGAAATGTTTAGCTATCTTCAGCACAAAAACTTTATTGTTTTAGGAACACTTCATAGTGACAGAAATAGGAATACTACCTGTGCATGTGTGTGAGCGGTGTGTGTTGTCTTCTTCCCACTCTCATGCTAAATGTGGAAGCTGAGTAGGGGGTGGTGGCTTTGACTCTTGTGTGAGAAGGGAACAACTTTTACCAGCCACCTACATACACAGACTGAATCAGCTCTGTCAGCAAAACACCTCTTTCTCTCTCTTCAGTGTCAGTCTAAAGTAAAGGTTTACTCACCCAATCCTAGGCATGAAACTCTGAGCCCTGACTTTCCAAGGTTCCTGTGTGGACAGAGAAGAAAGTAAATGAGCATTCTTGGTCATCTGGGTTGATTTTCTTTCTCCCATTCTTAGTCGAAAGCAACTTAAAGCTGAAAATTAGGCTAAACTAGTCAGCTGAACAGTCAAAACAGGTATAGGAAAAACAAGTCATGCTTAGAGTGTGAGTTTATCACTGTTATAGTGACCATTTTCAGACCACCCAGCAGATATTTTCTGGGTTGTACTTTATCTATTTAAATATCTCTAAATAGTTCTGATATTCAGTATCTGTTAAGCCTTTGGAAACTGTGTATTGTTTAGCTCCAGTCTCAGATTGCGGCAGAGGTTGTCCTTCCTGTATGTTCCAGCTCTCTGTGGTTTTCTGTGTCATGTTCATTGAAGCTTGAGGGACATTTATTGTCCTGTCATGTCAGCTTCC